AATTAAATACACAACAAAAAAGAATTTAATAATAAATCTTTAAATATAAAATAATTTTTTCAGAGCAAAATATGGAATACATAACTTTCGAAGATGTAGACAAAATTAGCGAAAAATTCTCAAGTAAAAAATATTTGAAATATGAAATCGAGATTCTAGAGAAAGTTTGAAACCCAGATTCCGTAAATCGTGTCGACCAAACCCCTGATATAGGCAATGTTTCTTCTAAGAGAACAACATAAACATTATAATATCACTCCTCATAAATTGGAGTTGTAAATATGTAGCATAGTTGCTATATGTACTATTGTAGAAAATAGGGAATCACAAGGCTACAGTTGTGAACCGAACTTTCCGGACCGGTTTTTTCCGGACCGGTTCTTCGTTTCGGTTCCGGTGTTCGAAAATTCTCTATGAATCAACAACCCACGATTCGATTTCTGTCCGTTTCGTCAAAACAGAGTATTTTTTAAGTTAGTTAGGAAGTTAGTAAGGAAATTGAATAAAAAAAATTTTAGAATTATCCAAAATATTATGCAGCCATTTTTAAATTTATGCATAAAATCATCAAAATAAACTTAGGTTTTACGACGTAAAACCTCAAAGAATATTTGCTTGAATACCAAAAATTCCCGAAAAATTCCTGAATAAAATTCAAAAAATAATTGCATGTAAATAAAATTCCCCGGTGCCATAATGTGCCATAATATTTTAAGGAAAGAATGTTGGAAGATGAGTAAGCACAGATATTAGCTTGGGAGAAACTCAAAGAAAAGCAGGAAAAAATATTTTTTTGAGGAAGAGCAGAAAAAGTATTTTCCTTCCCCCTTTCTACCCCTTGAAATTGCCATTTTAATAACTCGGTAACAGATATAAGAAATATATATTTTGGCATTTTTACGTTTTTGACAAATGATGAAAGCTATAAGATAAGAAAAGAAAAGGGGAAAAGGATTTTAAACAATAAAAGTAAAATATTAAATGGTTATTTTTGGCCAAAATTGTGCCAAAAATAATTTTTAGGAATTAAATGGTTTAAAATTGAAAGTAAGAATTAAAGAGGCAGTTAAAATGTCTAAGCAAAAAAATTAAAAATCTGCCATATGTATGAAAGAAAATATAAATTATAAAAATACATTTTTGAGTTTAAAAATGTTATAAATGTAAGAGATAAAAATCTTAAATTTAAGAATATTAAGAGTTCGTGGGGATATTAGAAAAGTGTCGGATTGAAAATAATTCGAGTTGGTATCGAGTCGAGTTTTCAAAATTTTCTTTTGCTCGGATTTCGCATTAAAAAATGTGGATAGGATTTTGGACCTGATTTTAGATATTTTCTTAGGCACGGTTACATAGCTGATTAGAAATTTTGAGTCAGATATTCGAAGATATTTTGTTTCGAAACAGCTCTGTTCGGGTATCGTTTTAAGGTAATAAGACCCATTCTTGTTGGGCATATTAAAATCATTTTTTGAGGTTTTTATCCAAAAATATTCCTTACAGAATTTTGCGATTTTAAATTAATAATTTTCTCTCCAAACACAAAATTTATTTAAAGCACAAAGTTTAACAAAAAAATTTTGTGCAAAGCTACATATTTAATCGTCATTCAAAGAGAATACTTGAAAGAAAATATTTTCCAAATTTAAAGAAAAAAGTAATTGAGGTGCCAAAACAAAAATTCTAAAGAGTGTCTAGAAGTATTTTAGCTTTTAAATAGAAAATGACGAAATTTGAAGAGAAAAAAATATTGGTAAAGGGAATGTGTCAATTGCTGATACAAAAATAATAATAAAAAGTAAAAATAACTTTGGAAGGGACCTAAAAATATATTTTAATGAAAAAATGAAAATAAAAAAATTGTGTTTTGAAAAATATCAGTGATTTGATAAAAGACTCGAGCTGGGCCTGGACCAAGGCCTGGGTTTTTCCTGCACTACAGGCCCAGGATCCGGCCCAGGTCAATAAATCGAACTTGGAACCCAGGAACAGGCCCAGACATTTCAAAAATCTTGATCTTTAGTTGATACCCTTTATATTGGATCCAGCAACAGACCCGGAGCATGGCTAGACGAAATAATAATTTTTTTATTTCGTTCCGGAACAAAATGGATAAATCGCAAAAGAGCGAAACGGACGAAATTTGGCCTAGCCATGATCCAAACCCAAAGTTTTTCGGAACATCTCCATGGTGCAGATTATAGGCATTACTTTTGAAGTTTGAAAATTTTGAAGGTTTTAATAGGCATAGAAGCCAGATTTCTTATTTTTTATGTCCATAAATTCTTAAAAATATTTCTTCAAAATTTTGTTTCGCCAATTTCCTCATTTTATAAAAATATTTAAAATTATGCATAAAATTTTCTTCCAACATTTTTCTAAGAATTTAGTTTAGTAGCTTATGTATTTAATAATAAATAAGAGTTGTTAGGAAAGGAAAAATGGTGGTTATTGGAATATATAAAATAATTTCCTATTTCCTCGCTTAAAAATAAAAAAAAGAAAGAAAATGTGCGCAGAGTAAAAAAATATTTTTTTCTATAAAAAACAAGTAAAAAAATATAAAAAAGTGCCAAAAGAATTTTTTTTACTAATCCAATTTATGTCAAGAGGAAAATGTTAAAATTGGAATAGTTTCAAGTTAAATAAGGCATGGAAAATGTGAGAAAAGGGAGTCGAATTTAAACGAGAAAATGTTGCAGAAAAATTGAAAAAAATTTTTATAAATAGAACAATAATTCTTTAAAAAATTAAAAGAAATTAATTAATATGACTGGAGAGTTGATAGATATTTAAAAATAAAATTGCTAAATTTAAATACAATGGGCAGGTGTGAGATCCCCAACTGTGATTTTACATGTCACCAATTTTGCTATCGTTATAACTGAGAATTTAGACTTGTTTTCGTCTATTAAATCCCGAGTTATATTAAATTAACCCTGGCCATCTTGCGCCATTGATCGCTGGTAATAAAGGAATTAATAATGAAAATGCGGGAGGATAATTCGATAGAACCAAAATAATTTAGAAAAAATGAAACGAATTTTCGATTAAAATTCTAAATTTTGTTTTAATATTTTTCAAAATAATTCTAATTTAAATTCACCTTTTTGTCTTTTCATAACGCGTATAGGCCTTAATAAATCATGCCCATTCAATGAAAGAATCCTTAAATCGCCGTGGAAACGAAACAAATGCTCTAAATTATCTAAAATAAAAGGAAATTATTTAAAAATAAAAATATTTCTAAACAAAAAATAAAATTTACTAGCTATTTTAGCAGTTCCAATAGGTTGGGCAATAGCTATTTCATTAATAGAGAGAATTAGAGGTTTGTTTCCAATATTATTTAGTGATTCTGTCAAAAATTAATTAAATTATTAATTCATTTTTTAAATAAAAACACTTACGATTATGCCATTTTCCATCCAATTTTAACGCCATTCGTTGCCACTTTCTTATTAGCTTGAGTGAATGCCAACCTACATTATTTGTAATGTTTGCAGAGCTCAGATTAAAAGTCTATAATTTAATAAGTTAATCAAATTGAGATAACCCAAAAATTTTGAGTTAAAACAGCCCTTTCACCAAGTTTAACTGTTTAAAATCAACAGTGCTGTGGATAATGGATGGGACGGATAACCCGAAAACTCGTAACGGAAAAGCTGACTTTTTTCTCCCGAAACCCGATCCGAAGAAAATTTTGAAACCCCGACTTGACCTTTATCTCAAACGCCCCATCCCTGCTGTGGATGGCTCAAGGAGCTGGCTTCCGAGCTGCTTTTAAGCCGGCCGGATCCGTACCAGAATGGAAAAGATGTAACCAATACCTCTAATCAGCATGATCGCGATCTCATCCTCGAGATACCAGATCCCTTTTCGATCAGATTATAACATTTTATTATAATGTTATTTTTAATAAATCAACCAACACTTTGCTCATTTCCTTGAAATACCCAGTGTACAATTAATCCTCCACTCCCAGTTATCGCTACCAATAAACGTTGTTTATCTTCATCCTCCTCGTTAATATCAGAATTTGTATCAATTAAAACAAAAAGTTTTTTCTGTTTATTTAATTCATTTAAAGTTATTCCCAGCTTTGGACGAAATTTAATTTCCAAATTTTCCGCCTCCAACTGCCATGAATCAGAAAAATGAAATTTGGCTGAGAGAGATTCTGGTAGAGGGAAAGGCAAAGGGCGAGACTCTAAAAAATTATTTAAAAAATATTTTTGAATCTCTGTAAAACTTTGTTGACAATTAATTCCTTCGAAAACAGTGTCAGAACAATCACAGTGAAATGAATTGTGATATGAAGAACAAATACCCCCATTTTTACATGGATTCTTGCGGCCAGGCTTTTTACAAAAATCAGTAGAAAAAGAGAAGGGGCAACCAAGTGAGATTGCTTAAAAATAATTTTAAAATAAAATTTTATATAATGGAGGCAAGCAGATAAATTCATAACGTTTTCCTAAAATCTCACTCTTTAAAGATTATCATATTTTTTCGATTAATTACGGCACTTTACTAAATTTTGGAGTTTTCCTATACGGAATTACGGTATATTCCCGAGTAGGGGATTTTATGTGATCCAGTCCAGGGATTCCGGGATTTATATAATTAATCCCGCGGGATACCTCGCCCAATTTTCAAAATTACCCGATCACGAGTATGCGATTTTGTTGATACAACCGATTAATTATCCACCCTAGCGTGAGTTCGAAAATGTGGGGAATAAATATTTTAATAATTACATTTATTTATTTTTGATGAAAGACTTCTTTCAGTTGATCTTTCCGTTGGTAATAATTTTGTTGACTGAAACATATGTGCAATCTCGATATTTATACCATTTAAACGGATATTTTTCATACAACCAAGAAAGCCTTGACGAAGATTTATTGTCCAAACCTTTAAAAATGTATGAAAACAAAGCTGTAAATTCACTACGGGGTGTTAGGGTTATGCAAGAAATTCGGGCAGGTTTTAAAATCCAAGTATGATAAACCTACTTATCTCAACTAGAACGGCACTTACTATAATAGAGCTAAATATTTTGTAACACCCGACATTTTTAATCCTGGATCTTTCCCCGGATATTTCATGGTCTCAACTCCAGCCGCTACCGGATCTTGACTAGCTCCCGGGACCATACCCATCGCTTGAGCCAATTTTAAAGCAAGTGAAAACCTTAGCCAATACCGCTCAATTAGGGAGTATATATAAAATTAATTACGGATGAAGGAAAATTTCTTTTCATTTCAGCAGGTTCTTCCATCTCAATGACTGTTACTGCTTCAACTTGAAGATTATTTTCATTTTCTTGATTAAAAGAAAACACGTCAGGCCATGGAACAGCTCCAAGGAATATTGGTTCATCTATTAAATTTTAAATATGTATGCCACTATGTATATTCTACCAATATCTAAATTTGCTGAAATGCCTGGACATGAAAATTCAGTTCGAAATGAATCAACAGAGATGAAGCCTTTGAAAATTTTAATACAAAAGTTATCCAAATTTCCTTAAAAAATCCAATCCACCTTTGCGTCCACCCCTTTCCATAACAACGCTATGCCATAGGCCATCGTTCAGGGATTTAGCAGAGGCCTTGAAAATTTGTCAATAAGTTATAATTTTCAATTAGTCTCTTTCAAAATTTAATTAACCTGTAGTCGAATATCACCAGATCCGAGATTTACTATCATCTTAAAACTTTCTTGAGTTAATTATTTTAGATTTTATCTCACAAACAAATGTCCATCTATTAATTCAAAAGCCAAATAATCACAAATTGTAAAGTTCCTGCATTGTGCCATTCCATGATATAAAAGTAATCCATCAGGGGCTAATGTTCGAAACTGGAAGGCTTAAAGCAATTATTATTTACAGAAGAGGGGCCTTTACTGTATAGGTAAAGCCCCCTCTTAAAGGCACCTCTTTATAGCCTTTACTGTATAGGCTATAAAATTAGTTTTGAATCTCCCCTCAAATCTCGGTATCTCTCTCTATCTATCACTCTTATTTCTCTCCCTCTTTGAAATATGGTTATCTCATTCATTTGTTATCTCATAACTTATCTCTCTCCCAAGATTCAAGTTACTTTTAATGATAATTTGGAGAATTTTATCACTTTCAATTCCTTCTCTCTCTCTGAAAGCTCGGTTATCGGACAGAGATTTTTCGTGAACCTTGCACAATTCACGACCGACACCGGTCTCTATTATAAAATAATAAAAGGGTAGGCAATTAAAAACAAATAAAGAAATCTTTTTCTTTATAAGATACGTTTAACTTAGTATTTTGAATTTTTAAAAATAAAATTTCTTCAAAAAACAAACCTAAAGTTCCACGGGATGGAGAGCGCCATGGAGGTAATTTAGTATAATTATTTCCATTATTAAAAGAGAAAACCAAAGGAGCATTTTGAGCACTTGGCATACAAGAGAATGTAAGGTCACCAAAAGTTTGGACTTAAAAATAATTTTATGATTTAATTTTAATTGAAATATTATTTGTTATTTATCACTTTTTATTATATTTTTTAATAAAATCTCTACTAAATTAATATAATTTTTATTCAAAAAACACACCATTAGATTGTCCAAATCCTTGATCTGCCAATTGAATTAAATTTAGTTCAACAGGACCCGATTGAAAGAATATCTGAAAGCATAGTTTGATATCAAGTTACTTTTAATGATAATATGGAGAATTAAAAATAAATATTATCTGGTATGTGGGATTGGTATAAACAGTCATTAGCGATCAGTCTTTATCGAGATCTGAATTAGAGCCGCTCCCTATACTTGAGCATTGATACCTTATTCTATAATTGTTATTCTTTTATTTACTCTTGTGATAAAGATATTATTCAATTCTTGTGATATTCTGTTAGCGAATAATTTAGATATGTTGCACCCCTATTTTTCTCAATATTTCATGTTCCAGACAATTAATCTAAAAGATTTTTTTAATTATCATATGGAACCATGGGATAACCAACATTTAATAACCAACACAAATAATTCAACAAATTTACGGACGTTGAATTATTTGACTTTTTTCAAAATAAAACCTTTTTTAGGCATCCACGAAAAGGTAATAAATGCTCTGTCGGCATTAAGTGCCTCAAAGTTTGAGGCATACCACCAACAAAAAAGAAAGAATTTCCTAGCCATTTTAATCGTGGAGTGAATTGTAAAACTTTCTGATCAAAAATATCATCAACTATCAGACGAATCTTCAAAAAAATAAATTTTAAATTAAATAATTATCAAAGAAAATGAAAGGAAAAAAATTTTAAGAAAAATGCCTAGAATGGCCACAGCAAATAAAAGTTTTAATAAAGTTAAGAAAAAGATTTAAAAAATAAAAGTGCTTCTTAACAGAATTTTTTGATTTTTAATACTGCAATACAAATACGAAAACAAAAAATATTTTTTTGTGAATTGTCGGCAACCTACCGAAATAACAGCACCTTTAAATCCAGGCTAGAATTAAAGATTTAAAAATTTAAATATTGTAATTGAGGAAATGCTTGTCGTAAGACCTCTAATATCTAAAATTGAAGGATAGAAAAAGTCAGAAAAGTATAAATAAAAAAGTCCGAAATTTTTGTTTCTCTATCGGTTCCTGATCTGGATATCCGAAGATTTTTTTATTTCCACCACTCTACAAATATTTATACACAAAATTAAATGTTCTGGTTGGCCTGAGAGGAAATATCTTCTTAGGGAATAATTTAATATATTCACTTCAATTATCTAGATAAGAAGATTAAAAATCGAACTCTTTGTCCTCTCATGATCAACGAGATCATTTAACTATTATTGTCTTCGTCCAAATCCCATAATTAAAACCTACAGAATTTAGTTCTCTCACAACACAAACACTATGCCATAAATTATTATCAAAATGTAAAGGCAGTCTTTGGTTGCGATCTTGAACTCGAATAAGGCGTTTGTCAGTTTCTGCTAATTGATGTGTTGCTAGAAGTTCTCCATTTTCAATTGTTAATTTGAAATTACTCTTGATTTAATAATAATTATAATTAAATAATTTTTTATAATTATAAAAATATTTTAACTTTCTAAACCTTTCCAAATAATAAATAAAACGAGAATCTCCATGAATTTACAGCCAACTCTACCTAAGTGGAGAATCCCGACCCTCCATGATCGAGGTTTCAGGAGGGCATTTAGGGCTTCCAGGCTTTTTGCCAAAAAGATCTTCGGGGAAGGGGATTTTCGTGGTACTGAGTGAGTGCTCAATGTAATAGACAGACATTTTTCACAAAATTTTTTTTATCAAAATAACGTATTTTCAGTAATAATCCACAAAAACTTCCTTTTCTCCATAATTGTGCTTATAAAAGAGGAAAATTTTTTATTTTCTAAATTGAAATTTTAAATTTCTCCAATTCAGAGAATGGGGCTATGTTAATGTCCTATTTTTTATTTTCATTTAATCCTCCACATACCCATTTAAAAGTATACCTTAGAATCCCCAGCAACAAATAGAAGAAAATTTTTAGAAAAATTGGTTCTAAAGGAGATATTAAAAATTTCTCGATGACTCAATACGGCCAAAAGGTCTTCATCATTAATTCCATTATTATTCGCTTCATTATGTAAATTATCGTAGCCCATCCATTCATTTCCAAAAAATGATACTTCTGTGCTTGGCTTTTCTATCAATATTAATTAACTTAACTAAAACACCTTTATTTGCTTTAATTAAAGCCCTAAGCTTCTATTTACCAATAGGCCATTTTTATTTGACTCATAACAGATATGGACCTGAGACGGAAAGTATACTTTTCGCTGAGTCCCGATCCCCAAAAATCTGTTATTCCCGACGTTTTTCAGGTTGGGAATCCCGATTTCACGAAATAGAATTTTTTTTGATACATAACAGTTATCCTGCGACCCGATTATCGATTCCCGAAAATCGCAAATTTTCGACATTTATTTTTGGTCGGAATCAATTAAAATATCGTCATTAATTTCTGTACACCGATTCCAGAAATTATTTTGAAAGTCGTGAATTTTCGGCAATGTTATTATTGTATTTCATTAATTAGTCGAATTTCTTAACTTTTTGACTTATACAATATATGGATAGAAGCGGGGATTAATTAAAGCATTTAAAGTAAATTATAATTTTATTAAATTCTCTCACTATTTTCACATCTTCTCCCTTCATAATCTGAATAAAAACAATCACAACGAGGCCCATTATTTGAACTATAACACAATCCAGAATTTAAACAAAAGTTATTTTCATTTTTTGATTTGATATGTTTTGAATTGTGTTCTCTAAAGGAAAAAATTAAAAAATAAATTATTTATTAATATAATTTTCATTAGTATTCCACAATCTAACTGGACGTTTCCGAAGGCACAGGATATTACCGCTCCGGCTTTTGGTAGCTCCACGGACTACCATTCCGAAAACTAATGAGTATCGGAGCACGGGGACTTATCTATACTAATTTTTATCAAAATTTGTCGGTACATTTTCGATTCACAACACAAATTTGTAATATTTAATAATAGCCTTGTTTTCACAATCAAAAATTAAATAAATAATATAATTGCAATTACTTCAAACAATAATTATCATCAGTTTTTCGAGTACCAAAAGAGTCAATCATTAAAGGTGCAGCCATTCCTTGTGGATATATTCTATACATTAAATTACGAATTAAACCAGCAAATCTTTTAGAATATCTTCTTAATGGAGCGCTGAGTTTTTCGACATCCTTTTAAATTTTTTAAAAATTTTTAAAAATTATTTTAAATTTTTTTATTAATTTCCATCTAATACATACTTCAAAATTTAAATCCTCTAATTAATGCCCTGGGCTTTATCTTTTGCAATAGGTCACTTTGATTGGTTTATATTAGATATAGGCCTCTACTATCAGAGACTGGGTGTTTATTTTTGATAGGACTCTCTGCATGGGATTGTAGTAACTATAGGCTTCTAATAGAGCCGGGCTGTAGAACATTTACGACATTTTTTTTAATTATTTTTATTAAAAAATTGTAATTTTGTCCACTGTCCAAAATATTCGTAAGATCATTTAGTGTCGTACTTTTTATAGCTAATTCCAAAAAAAGAAATCCCTAGTGGTTTATTCATGTAAATATAGTCCCAAAATTATGCGAAATATATTTTTAAATGAAAAAAATAACAAAACTAAGATTCTGTTTTTTTATTTAAAAATTTTTCTTTTGGGTATTTTTGGAATATTTCAAAAATGGCTCTACATAATTAAAATTATAAAATTATCTTTAATCTCCTATCCTTATCCACAAAATGCTACGATATCCTTCTATCCCTAAATATAGGATATCAGGAGATTGAAGGTATTAAGGTGGATATCAAGAGAATATCCTCATTAAGGGATAACTTTATATGTTTAAAAAATAATTAATTTACTTTAGGTATGCCACCAACAAAAATATCAGAATTTGTTCGAATATTTCCAAGCATAAAACTTTTTTGTTTGTCTAATAAACAAAATACAATTTCGTCGTCAAGTTGAATTTTAATATTCTCCCAAGCCTGGCATAAAAATATATTTAATTATAAAGATAAGGAAGGTTGATATGGCATGATTATGTTTATGGATTGGTTTGGGTATTATATCTAGGATTCAATGAGGGAAGAAGATCAAGACTCTTAATTTGTCGAAAGCTTCCCTTTATCCATTTTAGAGATCTAGCCGACCCGATTCCTGAAAATCAGGAATTCCAGACGGTTTTTGAGTAGGCACCTTAGGATTAAAATTGGATTCCATTTACCCTCTTAACCTCCTCCTTAAAATGCCAAGAATCCTTCTTAACCTCAGTGGATAAAGGAGGATAAAGGAGGATATTAAAAGTACTGATCCAGCCCGAAACCCGGCTTTTTGCTCAGCCTACCCATCTCTGATATGATAATTTATTTACTTGAAATAAGGTAAAATAATGCCATTTTCCATCATCTACTCTAGTTTCCATCAAATAAATATTGTGTCTTTTAGGTGGGATAATTTCAATTTCTCCAATTCTGAATTCAACGAGAATATAACTTTCGAGTATACTAATTATAAGAAAATTGTGATTAATTGCTCCTAAAATAATTAAAATTAAAAGAAATTATTTTTGAGAAGTGATAGAGTGTGAAAATCCTAAGGAATTTAAATTAATAGGCAATTTTGTACTTGAGTTCGGGCTTTAACTTACCCCTAATAAGGTCCATGACATAATTTTTATTTTTGCTAAAAAACTTTTCTGTCATATTGGTTGTATGTGTTTGATCTTTTTGTTTGTTCGTTATAAATCATAAAATTTAAATTAAGAAAATTCCTATAATATTCATAAAAATTATTAATGAGTTTTATTCGTCTTCAAAGTCTGTGGGAGGGGGGGTGTATTTTAGATAACTATAATAAATTTAAATACATAGGTCTATTTTTAGTTAAAAATTTATTATTAGGTAATTTAGTTAATTCACCATCATCAGTATAAAGAATTATTGCGTTTGATTGATGCGTTTTAAATTCAAATTTAATTTCATTTTCGAATGTCTGAGCCCATTTTGGATATCTAAATAATACTTAATTTTCTCATTTTATTTTAAAAAACCTAGCAAAAGATTCTCGTCCACCAGACAAAATTAGAGCTTTAATTGATGAAATAGGAACCATAATTATTAAAATAAGAAAGGTTACTAAATAATTATTTTGAGTAACAATAAAAATTTTTAACATGTGAATATTCCCCTTAAAATAATAAAAAATTTGGCTCTTGTCCAGATTATGCGTCCAATGGCACCTTTACGCGTCCAATAAAAGTTTATGCATCAAATCCCATTTTTAAGTACATGATTCTTCATTTTAAACCAATGGTCCGGTATCCTGCGGGTGTAACATAACTGGATGAGAAGATCTCTCTATTCCCTTAGATTTTATGCTACTAAAATGAAGAACCGGGTACTTAAAAAATATGATTACTTAAAAATATGAAATACTTAAGAAATATGATTTTTCACTTTTCATTGGACGCGTAAAGGCTTATTGGACGCGTAGTTTGAACAAGAGCCAAAAAATTTTTCTAAATTATTTTTAAAAATTAATAAAAATAATAGGAACACTCAAAAATTATTTAAAACAACACTAAAAGCATACTAATATTTATGCCTGGCCAGAAAAAAATAAAAAGCTTTTTGGCTAGTAGTAATTGTTGTTTTTCTAGCTAGTAGTAAATAGAATATTATTTAGAGGGTTATATATTTAGAGGGCAGGTGAGGAATTATTTATTTGAAAGGGTATAAAGTTGAAATATTTTTGAGGTAAATATGTGTTGGATATAGGTCATGCGTTAAAAATTATTTTTAAAAATTAGATAAAAATATTTTAAATAAAATAAAGAAAAGATAAAAAATTATGAATAAAAAATAATGATTAAGAGGTTTATCCAGGATAGTCTATTTTATTTTAAAAATTTATTTCTGTTCGATAAAGGAAAAATATCAGAAAAATTACCAAAATTAAAAATAGGTTCGTAATCAGTACCCGTTGCTGGCTCACTGAAAATTTTACACGTGGTCTTCCGTCTGGGAAAAATCCTACCAGACAGTAATACTTTTTAAATTTAAATTAGATATAATTAGTCCTCGAACACTAGTCCCCGACTCCCCAATCACCTCGACGATGATTTTTAGGCTATTACCCGATCGAGATCTCGACAGTCTATCCTCTGCCAGCAAGTTTTTCGGAAATTTAGCGGGCATATTTTTAAATTTAAATAAGGGTGGTGAACTAATCCCTGTCATATCGACGGTCTATTCTCAGATATCCTCGTTGGTGAAAAAAATGGAAAAAATTGTGAAAATCATTGGATCGCTTAATAAAAGGTAGAACAATAAAAATAAAATTACAATAAAAAATTTAATTTTAATTTAATTTTGGAAGAAAACAAAGCTAAATATCGTCCAAAAAATAAATATTGTTTATTATAAAAAATTCGAATGTAAAATTATTAAAAAAATTTATTTTTATTTAAAAAAAATTCAAAACCACATAAATATTAACCAAAATAAATAAATAAAACTAAATAATATCAATTACAAAGTCAATATGTTCAACAATTTTAGGCAAACATTGACTACATTCTGGCGCGTGAGATTTTTTGAAAGGCAAAAATGGTTGAGCCGTTGGATAAAAATGAGACTAGAATTAAAGAAAAGAGTACATAGCTGAGGAAACAATTTTTAGAAAAAAATTTTTTAATAATAATAAATTTTAGAAGGTAAGAGTTATTTAATTGAAATATTGAGAAAATAATTAAATAAAAATTTGTAATAATGGAAATTGTCTGAATAAAGAATAGTTATGTAAGTTATTAAATTAAATAAAAAGATTTTCTGCCGCCATAAAAAAATAAATTGCCGATTTCGGAATCGAGAATTTCCAACCAATAAAATATTAAATTGCTTTTCCATATAAAATTAAACTTGGATTTTTGCCTAAGTATGTTTCCGCGCAGTTTGTGGTTGGGTTAGCGTTTCAAAAAAAAATAAATAATGTTCTAAAATCAAAAAAAATTTCCTCATGTATTTAATAACTAATATTTTTATATATAATTAAGAATAAAAATTAGAAATTAAAAAATAAATTAAAATAAATTTAAAATTAATAAATATATGACAAAATTATTTAAAAAATTAAAGCCAAAAAATTTATTTGGATTAATTTGCAATTTTTTGCCTTAATTTGGAATTTTGACTACTTAAATTTTAGCTCATTTTTGCCTTATTCTTTTCAAATCTTCATCTCTTTATATTTTGGATTTTTAGTTTTTTTTCTTTTTAAAAGGACACTTTCCATCAAATGCAGTTTTGTCAGCCGCGGGGGAGTGCGTGGGAGAGGGAAGGGGAAGGAGAAAGAAGGCAGGGAATTCTAGGCGGCATGGGAACCGGAATGAGCTTTTTCTTATTTTTTACTCCACTTCCTTTAAGTTTCTTCCGTCCCTTTGGGAAAACAAATTTTTGGAAATAATCAAGTTTGGACAAAGCTTTTTGGTGTTTATGATTAGTTTTTATGCTAGTTTATAATTCTGTTTATTTATTTAAAAAATAAAAAAATGAATTGAATTTTTTGTATTTTTGGGGTTTATTTTAGTTAATTATTAATTTTGAAATAATATAAAAGATAAAAACACAAAATTCAAAAGTGAAAAAAATTAAATTTTGAATTTTCGAGGCATAATTAAACACATTCTTCATTTTTTATAGTTGGCATGTTTTAAAACCAAAAATTTGAAAAAAAATTGAAAAAAATTTTCAGCAGCAGCTGGCGCCGCAGGCGAAAATTTTGAGAATAATGCAAGTCCAACCGGAGAGAATATTGCAAGGACAACCCATATTTTTATAAAGAAAACTAATCCTTAGGGGTGTAAAAAGGTTCCGGTTTGCCCGGAACTGATTTGTAAACCGGAGCCGGAACCAATTTGAGTTCCGGTTCCCGGAATTATTAGTACAAAAGTCTCCTGAATGTTTTATTAATTCTTTTTTTATAATTATGTACTCATTTACTTTAAATTAAAAAATTTTTTAAATAATTTATTAAAGTATACCAAGGCAATGCCATCTCTCTATATATTATTGCCAACTAACCTATAATTTTTTCTCAAAAGCAGTTTCGAAATTTCGATTTTAAGGAATTGTTTCTTTCGATTTCCGTCTAGAGTTTCTTTGTTGTTATTTCGATTTAGAAATTTTTTAAACATTTGACTTTGAGACGCTAAAAGGAGGAATTCTAGCTTCGTGGCTTTCTGAAATTCAAAAAAACTTTCCTTTGTTACGCAAAAAGAATATTTTGAAGTTTATATTTCTTATTTTGACGCTTATTTCGCTGTAGAAATTTCCATTTAAGGTCCGTTCCTAAAAACCTCGACACCCCCAAATTTCTCAAAAAAGTCGACTTAAAATTTTTTCCTATTTTTAATAACTTCTAAAAGTTAATTTTTTATTTGAATTAGTTAGACTATAATTATTAATTCGAATATTCGAATCGTCCAATGTACCGATAAAAAATTTTTTTCTTAACCTAATTTGGCTCTCTCCTCTTTTTAATTTTTACTTTACTATGGTAATTTTAAAATTATTTAATTTTTTACATGTGTCATTTCCCTCAGCCAATCACCTATTAAAAAATTTTTTTACCTTATTTTAACTCGCTCCTCCCTAAAAATTTTTTGCTGTTTATAACTCTCGCTATTCTCCAGTTTTTTATTTATTTAATTAAATAATTATCCAATAAAAAATTCAATTTAATAGCTATTTCTCAAATGGCATCCTTGGTTTTTTTAAATAAGACCGAAACAGCAAAATCAAGGTTGAGTTAATAAATTGGCGAGTTCCTCGGCCTCAGCGAGCCCTTGACCTCGTGCGACTCTGCTTTTAATATGCCTTAGTATTTTTTAAATTTTATTTAGCTTTAAATTCAAAAGTCCTTTATTTTACCAACAAATGTTTTTAATTAAAAACAAAATTATTATTGTTACCATTCTTTTGGTGATTATCTGTAAACTCAATGATGCGTCTGGTGGTCGTAGAGGTGGTCGAAGTGGTAGAGGCAGAGCACAAGAACATCGAGCTGATGTTAGTTTTTTACGATAAACTTGCGAATCAGAATTTTGCTGAACCGCAATAAAAACAGACCTGAAAACCTGACACTTGTCAAATTAATTATTTTCTTAAAAGTTTTTGGATTTTTTCATTTTTGGATATATTTTTAAATTATACTTTCTTTGTAGGTTGTTTGTGTAGGTTGCCTAATTATTAAACAAAAATATAAACCGACTCCAACATTTGTCAGTTTTTTAATTTCCTTGTCTAATTTTTTACTCAAATAAAAGTTCGGGGTATCAATGTTCGCTACGCATAATTTATTAAAAATGAAGAAAACCTTGAATTTTTGAAATAACAAGGACTTTTAATTTATACTTTAGGAAATGAAGTATAAATTCAACCTAAAAAGTTGAAAAACCATAGTGGGAATATTTTGAGTGAAAAATTTGAATATAAAAATAATAGCTCATTCGAAAGAGTTCCTCGAGCTGAGTCGAAAAATTAGCTTGATTTAACAATTTTGTCAAAAACCATAGATGGGAAATCTCAAAAACCATAGGTGGGATTTTAGTGTCAAAAACTTTTACCTCTTGTACATTACACTATTATGCTACAGCCGAATCAAATACTTAGAGAAGGATTACAAGCTTTGCAAGGACGATTTATAGCTACGATTCAGTCAGGGGGAGATATGGTAAATGCGTTGCAGGCTCAGGTGAGATTTATCTTAATAAAATAAATTTATAAATTGCAAATGGAAATTTTCTGTATATTATTCAGGAAATTCGATTGGATTTCCTGTCTTATTTCTGGATTTCCTTTCTTATTTCGGATTACATTTTCTGTATTAAATCAATTATGTAAATCACACTATTTTATTAGTATTGAATAATAATAGAAGTTATTAATGAATTTATAGGTACAAGATGCTCGAAATCTTTATCGATCATCTGAATCGACTCGAGGAATAAATCAAGAATCAGTAAATTTCTTAACATAATAATAAATATGTCCCAAAAAATATAACTTAAAAGCACGATATTGCGAGAAGAAAAAACTCGGGATCGGGAGTCGGGAATTTACAATAAAAAATTTTGGCGTCTTCGGCTCCAAAAATTTCGATTTTTTGCTCGCAGGCGAAAATTTTTAGAATTTTGGAAGGTCAGAAAACCAGATATCTTCATTACTAGCGCTGAATCGAAATTTTAAGAATTTCTGAAGACCAAGCGGTCAAATTTCTTCCATTTTCATTGCCACAGGATTTCCCCCTTTCCAAACTTGAAATTATAAAAAAGTTATTGAAAGTCCTTAAAGCAGTGCTTGGAAGCTCTATAAAACAATGTACGAACAAAGGCAAAAAATCAAAATTTGTAAGCACTGTTTCCATAAAATTGGAATTCTAATTTCCAGCCTCCCAAATTTTATTATTTTTAATTAATATAAAAATTTCTTAAAAGTTGGAACAGCTTAATCAAGTTATTGTACACCTCGATCGATTGATTGCTACATTTGGTCCGCAGGTTATAGTTGATAATTTATTTTTAATTAGTGTTGGTAATTACGGGCAGGTGTGGGTTATTCAGGGGCTATGTGATCTTTAGCAATTAGTTCTTGGGGAAAGGGGCAGTGAATTTAAGAAATCAAAATAAGCGATATTCAAAAATATTAATATTCAAAAATATTAATAAAATATTCAAAAATAGATTCAAAAATATTAATAAAATTTTAACTTTATTTTTCAAATTTCAGCAGCCACCAAGCCACTGAAAATTTTTTTGATGATTTAAAAAAGAAAGGAATTCAGTGTTGACTGATTTGGATTGGGTTTTTATTTAAGTACCCTTTAATTTGGATACCTTTTATTTGGGTTTTTATTTAAATTACCTTTTGATAGTTCCCCTTGATTTGGATTGGGTTTTCTTTTTTTGGGTTGATTTTTGGAATGTTTTTATTTAAAGTATTTACTACCCCTCCCCTTTTTGGATTGTTTTTTATTTAGTCTTTGGGATATAGTTTAGTCGGGGGCCCGCTCAAACCGGGTCGAAAAATATGTCATTCGATTTGTCTCGGCGAGCTGAGTCGATTTGGAGCGGGCCCTCGACTAAACTATAGCCAGTCTTTGTAACCCATTACTGCTGCTCTCTAAGAAAATTTTCCTCAAAGCCTCCAACCCGGGAACAACACTTGTTCTGATACTAGATGGTAGCTTAGAAGAGCAATCATCAAATATTAGCATATGAGTTTATGCCAAAAATTTCGAATATTATCAAAGTCAACAATTTTGTGAACATCAAAACGAGTTTATATTTTAAGCTTACTTTTTCAACCTTGGCATAAGCTAGTGTCAATCCTCTTTTTAACCATTACTATTTTTCAAAGTTAAAATTTAACCTTTTTTTGATAAAATTCTCTTTCCTTTTTGTATACTTTATTAAATAGCATTGGCATTTCAATCCGATAAGCATTTATCTGTCAGAAAACTTTTACACTAACAAAAGAGAGAGCCTGGGGTTTCCGTGGGACTTCGGGATGAAATTTTAGACAAGTAGATTAAACACTGCTTCAGTTGTGAAATTTTCACTATTTTTGCTGAATGGTACCGTGGACCGAGTTATAAGCCGACAAAGTTTTAAAATCCCCCGCAGTTTTCTTTTTTAATTTATGGCAATACCGGTGGAGCAGTGGTATCGATTTTGGATTTAATTTCTTCCCCCAAGTTCAAAGTCTAAATGGGAAAATTAATTTATTTTAACATAATTTTCGCTTTTGTTTATGAAAATCTTGTTTTTAAAATTTTTTAAAAAATTCTCTAAATTTTTTGGATTTTTTTTATTTTTTGAAAACACTTTTCGAAGAAAGGATCAACCACAAGGCTTTTTGTGGAACAAACTGTGCCTGTATCGTAAGAGGCCATTGTACCGCAGAGATATAACTCTTATATAAGTCTTAATTTTTCAATCCGATAAGCGGTTTTCGATACGCCTCGACATGAACTTTTGATATCAGGCCGTCCCGGATTTAGTTTCTGTACAAGAAATAAATTAAATATTAATAAAATTAATTAAATATTAATATTAATAATTATATTAATAAAATACAAGAAATAAATTAACATTATTTTATAAATAATATTTTAAATAATAAAAAAATTTATAGCTTAAAAAACAAGATTATCTTAATAGTAAGGTAACTTCAAAAAATTGATAAATACATACAGTAATAATAAATTAAAAATATACATGAAAATACATATGTATATGATTTAGATTTTTAAATTCAATTCTCTTTGGAGTCATCTGATATATTTTTATCATCTAAAATTTGTAGCATTTCATCTTTAATTGATAACGGTACCACTAATTAAATGTTCTTATCATCCTCAGTTATGTGTTTATCTCGATTACTTACAGATTCATCAGTTATGCTTTTATCTTCACTTAGTAGTGTAAGGCACTTTAATGCCATCCACCTCCAAAACCCCCTACCCCCTATCACCAACCCCAATCCCTCTATTATTTCCACATATCTCCTCCACAAGATATTGTTCCTTCGCCTTTAATCTTTCCCACCCCTTCCTGTTAGTTATTCAACCACCTTTTCACGTGTGTTCCCAGATTATTCACCTTTATATTTATTATGTTTATCCATTGTAACGCCCCATTTAGACTACACATACTTAAACAACTTTAGAAGAGAAGAAAGAGACTTCATTCGGTTTAGTTTGGAAATTCATTGAAGAATTCTTTTGATTGGGAGATTTTTGGAATGAATGTTTTATGAATTATTTAACCCCTATTCAATACACATTTATTTCACTCATTTATTTTCGTGCTTTATATTTAACTCATGCATTTTATTCACTTATATTATATTTGGCTATCAATTAAATAAACATAATCAGTTAGACTTGAGTGTGTAAATGATTAGAACCCTTAGGACAGAATTAGAACTCCTTACACTCCCCAATATATTCCTTGCCATGCCGTTTTCATCTTGTCCTCCTTTTCCCTTTCCAGACATTCAAACGACCTGACCAGTGAATCCCGATGGACGGTGCCATCAGACATGATGCCAACGGATGATTTCACTGGGGCAGAGTTACTGGTAGCACCGGATCTCCACCCGCTCACCTTCCCCTGCGCAAACCCCCCCCCCCCCTCCCCCCCCATCATAGCCCTCTAAATAGAAAAACCACTAAAATAACATTAATTTGGAAAATTACAGTTAAAATTCATTCCAATATTTAAAAATCACAAAATTCATATACCCCTACTTTATCTCTATATTTTCACATTTACAACATCAAAATTCCCCAGCAAAAAAAAAATACTAGAGAAAGTATTTTTTAGCCCTTTAATTTATTTTACACTAGAAGATAAAATAGAAAGAAAAAATCTGTCTAGGACATACACATCTTTTTCATAGTGCCTATTTTTTAAGATAGAAAATGGCTTCATTTTTAGCCTTTTTATTTATTTTCACAGCCAATAAGACTCCGATCGGAAAAATTAGCATTAAAAAAAAAGAAAATGCTAGAGCACATCACAATTTTACTTCTTTCCTCTAAACCACGCCACTCCTATCGCAACACCAGATATACTCTCTCTTCCTCCACCCTAGTCAAAACACTTGGCAAAAATAAATCGGCATACATTTTTCCTTCCCTTATTTTTATCCCACTTCCATTATATTCTTAATACATATATTTTTAGAAAAAATGTTTTTATTAAAAATAAAATTTTACTCCTTTTCATTAAAAAATGAAAAAAGTATTTTTATCCCCACTCCGATTAATTTTTTGAAAATTTTTATTTTAAAAAGCATTTTTATTAAAATAGATTTTTCTTAGATTGATTTATTTTCTCTCAATATAATCTTATAATTTTTAGTTCATTATACTTCTAACTTACCGTATTTACTCGACTAATTCACCTCCCTCGATTAATTCCCCTCCCTCAAACAATTCCCCCTGATAAGGATGAGTTGAAACAATAACCCCTTTCCCAAATACCCTACTACACATTGATATTTCAAAACTCGAATAATTCCCCTCCCTTGAATAATTCCTCATGTCACGGATGGGTTGAAAAAATAATTCCCCAGTGGAATTAATCGAGTAAATAAGGTATATCCGACACCCCAACAGAAAAGATCAATTTAATATTTTATTTTTGACAGTTTATCAAAAATAAATTCAGTAGAAAATGTCTTATTGTCAATTTATCAAACAAATCCCAAAAAATCTTTAGAAAGGCAAACAGAAACCGAACAATTTTTTTACAATTTGTAATTAAATATTTAAAAATTTCAATGTAATTAATTTTTAATTTAAATTTAATGTAATTAACAATTAAAAATTCCATTCTTCAATCTCTATTTCTCCAAAATAAAATTTTTTTGTTTACAAAAATTATTTCTCCCTATCCCAGGAAATAACCAATAGGAAGATAAAACTAAAGACAAAGAGGAGCTGACAGTACCTCTTGTAACGTTAGTCAAAAATAAACTTTAAATAAAATAAAAGAATGAATATAATTTTGCCTTTCTATGAGAAAATCACAAAAGCGATAAAATCGCCAATTTTAGCCTTATACACACTCTTCCATTAGTTTCTATCAAAAAATATAATTCTTACAAAAATATTTTTGAAAAATATTTTTTATTAAAAATGCTTTTGCAAAAATAAAGTAATAACCCTATTTATTATTAAAATATTTTAGAAATTTGAAATATTTTATATTATTATATATTTAAATATTTTTAAAATGTTAATAAATTATACATTTAAATATTTTATATCAATTTAAATATTTTATATCAATTTTCTGATTAACGGAATAGCCCAATCTAATATTTTTGTGAAATAATTGTAATGAAATTTTAATAGGCTTCAGTTTGAGATATCCAGTTAAAAATAATAATAATAGGCCTTTGTTTGAGAAATCGAGTAAAAAAAAATTAATAGGCCTTCGGTTGAGAAATTCAATTTAAGAAAATTAATAGGCCTCTGTTTGAGAAATCAAGTTAAAAATAAAAGTTAATAGGCCTCCGTATAAGAAATCCAGTTAAAAAAAATTTTTTTTAATAGGCCTCCGTTTAAGTAATCCAGTCAAAATTAAATTAATAGGCCTCTGTTTGAGAAATCAAGTTAAAAATAAAAGTTAATAGGCCTCCGTATAAGAAATCCAGTTAAAAAAATTTTTTTTTAATAGGCCTCCGTTTAAGTAATCCAGTCAAAATTAAATTAATAGGCCTCTGTTTGAGCAATCCAATTAAAAAAATTTTATAGGCCTCTGTTTGAGAAATTAAGTTAAAATAATAAATTTTAGGCCTCAACATAAGAATCCCAGATAAATAAAATAAATTTTAGGCCTCAACATAAGAATCCCAGATAAATAAAATAAAATTTAGGCCTCAGTACACAAATCCAAGGTAATAAGAAATAAAATTTAGGCCTCAATATACAAATCCCAGGTAATAAGAAATAAAATTTAGGCCTCAGTATACAAATCCCAGGTAATAAGAAATAAAATTTAGGCCTCAGTATACGAATCCCAGGTAAAAAAAAATAATAAAATTTAGGCCTCAACATAAGAATCCAAAAAAAATATATAAATAAAATTTAGGCCTCAACATAAGAATCACAATAAAAAAAAAATTATTAAGGCCTTAGCGTAAGAATCCCAGATAATAAAAATAAAATTTTATGCCTCAGATAAGAACTCCTGGTTAAAAAAAAAATTAAATTATAGGCCAATACAGTAACCCCATAGGAAATTTCATTACAATTACTTATCAAAGTTCAAAATCAAAAATACAAATTTCCTTCCGTTAAAAAGAAAATATAAACAATTCTCATGTATTACAATCACAATTAAAAAAGCAAAATTTTTAATTAAATTATCTTGAGAAAATCTTTCTCGAAACTTCCTTTCCTTTTCCCTTTCTCAAAACATTACAACTTTTCATTTCACTGTGAATCCAGAGAAAAGAAAAGCAGTCCCTATCCAATCCTAATCAAACTCCTTCATCTTTATATATCCAATATATATATAAGGACTAATTTCAATCCATTCCTCACCATAAATCTTCATAAACAGCTATCAAAAAAACTATTATACAAACAATTACAAAAAAAAAAGAAATTTTTCTCTAATAGTATTATTATAGAATTATTCTAATTCAACTGAAATAGAATAGGCTTTTTGCTTTAACTATTAAGCACACATTTTTAAATATTTCCCGTACCTTTTCGTTTCATTTTTCTTTAACCCCTTTAAATTTTTATTCGCTTTATTTTCATTAACTCGTTTTAAATTTTTTTTTATTCAAAATCATTTTATTTATTTAAATTGCATTTAATTAATTCATTAATACAATAATCCAATCTACCCTTTAATTAAGTAATTTTCCGGCATGGACGAAGGTGACATCGCCGTGATTGATCAAAAACTTTTTACTGGAAAAACCGGAACCCCAAAATTCACTGACCTAGAAGCCATAATATCTAATACATTAATGCTTGAAAATTCGATTAACCTCAAATTTCAAGCAGTAAATCGAAGACTCAATAGCGCAACCGAAGCCATTACCACTATTTCCGACGATCTTAATATCGGACTCCATACCTTGGCCAAAAGAATTGATGATATGCCCCAATTTACCTATTCGACCCCTAAGCCGAACATTCAACCCAGAATAACCCTGAACCGTGAAGACCAAAATTTAAATGTTGTAGGATCCTCGATCCAACAACAAAGCTCCACTTTAAAATCAATCCATACTGATGACAATAACATACAAGATTCTGACCCTGAAGATGAAAATATTAATAATAATATTGGCACCATAGCAGGACTAACATTTGATTACAATATTCCCAACTCTCATGGCCCAATACCTATTTATTCAGGGGAATCAAGCGGCACTTTTTCCTCCTGGGCGCAAAAATTCCTGGATTATATTGAAGGCACTGCCCAGAAACTCGATGAACCTTCAAAAATAGGGCGCCTTAAAATGTTTTTAGATGGGATTCCCAGACAAGTACTTGAAGAATTACCCCCTGAAGATAAGAACACCCTGACCAAGGCTATTGAATCCCTGAAACGATCCTTAGATACCCCGATCCGCGCTCAGCTCGCAAAACAATCCCTGTCTCTGTGCCGCCAAAAAGAAGATGAGTCAATAGATCGATTTGTTGACCGTCTTGTACCTTTAATATTTGCTGCGTATCCCGAACAAAACCCACAATCTAGGAAAGATATACTAAAGGCCGCCTTCCTAGATAAAATCAAGGAAGAAATAGCATTTTACGTTAGAGTCGGAATCACACCCCAACAATCCTTCGAGGAAGTACGAATAAAAGCTCTAGAAGTTGAAAACCTTATACAGACCCGAAAACGTAAACATGAAAATGAGGAATGGCTCAGCGCCTTATCTCAAATAAACCAACAGGCCCCACCTAGATTCCCAAGTGGAAATTTTTCCACATGGCAAAATGACACTAACCAGAATAGAAAAACAGTAGGATTTTCGGATGCAGTAAACAGAAATTATAGCCCATCATTCAGAAACTCAAATTACTCAGGACCCCAAGGACAACCCAGAAACAATAATTTTTCGTATAGAAATTATTTTAATCAAAATACCCCTAGAGGAAATACTCAACCCAACTCCCTTGCACGAAACTTTAATCAACCAAGGAACTTTAACCAATCCTTTGGGCGTCAACCAAACATGAATAACATTAAGATTTGTAATTATTGTCACAAGGCAGGACACTTAATTTCTGAATGTTATACAAGATCAAGAAATTATGGCCCTTACCAGAACACAATTCGTGCCCACAACCCAAATTTTCAACAACCATTCCGTAACGCTTCATACCCCAGAAACCAAAATAATTACCCATCTCAATATAACACAAGACGTATAAATACTTTAGACGTTGATGACCTATCTAATAATTTTAACAACCTTGACATTAACATCGGCCCACACAATATAAAAACCCTTTCAATTAACGAACCTGAAATAAACCCAAAACTTTTAAGCCCAAAAGAGCAACAAGGCAATTTAAATAAACCTGAAGACAAGATTAAACGCCCAAGCGAAATTGAAAAATGGGAACCTCCTCTAAATAGATCCAATTACTCTATTGCACCATTCATAACGCGCTTATCCACAATATTTCTTCTAATTTTAATTATTCCCGGATACTTTGCTTATCCACAAACAATGGTTAATTTAAATTACAAACCCAATAGTCCAATGGTCTGTCAAACAGAACAACGTGGTGAATACTGGTCTTTACCTGAATTTGCCCCATGCCCTCGAATAAAACCCAACTTGACTGGATCTCCCGTACCTCAAAATATTAGATTATATCGTCTTAACGCCTTCAAGCAAAATAACCAAGCCTGGGCCTGTAGAATTATTAGGAAACAAGAAAATGAGTACACAAACCCTATGAATGATCTTATAACAAAGAACATTCTGCCAACTAATCTTTACGTCCCCCCACTAACTTGCCAAAAAATGGTTTCAGACAAACGTTGTGAATTCGGGACCCTCAAAGAAGAATCGGGCCTTTGGCATACTGATAACCGATTATACTATGAAAAGAGATTTCCCATTGTTGGATGGTCCTGGAGATCTCATTCCTCTCTTAATTGTTATGTTTTTAAAACAGAAATTTCAGTTCCACATACATCTGAAACAATCCAATCCTCCCTCGGTAACATGAACCATTGCCGTTATACAGAAGGAAATTGTACCCTCTCTGATAACACAACGTTAATCTGGACCCCTGACCCCGAAAAACAATGTCTTTATATTCCAGTTGGAGAATATAAAGGTCATGTAATGGCAAATGTATGGATGGGAAACCAAATAGAACTAGGCCTCTCCCTTGACCCTAAGTCCCAAAATATCAGTGACTGTAACAAAACCCTCAAATTAACTGAACAAGGATTTGCCTTTGAAGTAATCAAAGACAATAAACCAAAAAGACACAAAAGGTCCCCATCCTCCTTCGAATGGAATTGGAATCACGAAACTCTAGTAACTGACAGCCAATTAGAAGGTCAACTAACCTATTTGGACCAAGAAGTAAAAGATTCCTTAACCTTTCAATTTTCCCACTCACTTCACCAACTTTGCGAGTTTGCAGAAGAAACACGCAAATGGACCACAACTGCGATGCTCACAGACCCAACCACATTAGCCCGGACAATTTTTCGCAACCCTAATTTAATAGCTCGATACATTTCAGGGAATACACTAAAAATATGGCCTTGTATTCCCCTCTCTCCAACACAATACAAATTTGCACCCACTAATCTAGACACATGTTTTGACTTAATACCCGTTATCCTCAACACCCAAGGGAAAAGTGAACTATCTTTCATAGACCCCACAACTCTAATTATTTCATCAAAAGCCCGAAAAGCCCCTTGTGAACAATATAGGAAAATTCCAATCCAGATTAACAATACACTAATAGAAATTGACCAAGTAACTGGTGAAGAAATTACTCTTCATAGTCGAATACTCACCAGTAAATCCCTTCATAAAATAGACTCACCCAAAATCGAACCTCATGCCTTCCACCATATGGTTCTCGTAAACCTCACGGACATAATTGCCCATTCATATCTAACAAATTTAGCAGAAATTAGCCAGATTACTTACAGAATTGAGCAGCGAAGTTCAGGTATAACTTCCTCATTTTCAAGTGATTGGGAACAAGTTAGACAAGAAATAATCCGCGAAACCTTAGGCGATTGGTCAAACATCCAAAACAAGTTTTGTCTTGTTATATGTATAATTGCCTCAATAGACATAATAATTAGACTCTCAGCCCTACTACTTGAAAATTATTTGAAAAAATTCTCTTTAATTCGAGCAATTTCAGCACGAATTTTCTCATCTCAAACCCCATCTAAACCAAATCCAGAACCCGAAAATAAACCAAAAGCTGAAGCTACTATTAAGCATCAGGCTAAATTTAGAAATCATCCATCCCAAATATTATTAGAGCTAGGTCGTCCTAGTGAGGGACAACCCTCTAAATGGCCACCTTCGGCTACAAAATTCCCTCTTGTTTATCCTCCAGCACCTGCAAATAATTCAAAAAATCGCTTAAACCGAAGGCGATCCCACTCATTAAATGTACTAATTAATTGGTCCAATTATGATTTTACTGCCAATCATTCTACTTGGGTTCACCACTCCCTTCCAATAGTAAATGCAACAATCGACTCGATGAGTTTCGATTGCCTCATAGACACCGGTTCGACAATTTCGTTAGCCCCAATAGGACTTGCTATTGGTTTGCTTTGTCCCATAATAGAAGGAGAACTTATAGTAACAACTCCTTCTGGTCATAACGTACCCATAATAGGTAAAACAATCGTAGAAATAATTATTTGCTCCCACTCAAGAGAAATTGACTTATACTTAGTTCCTAATGACAAATTTATAGGAGAAGGTTCATTCCAAATTATACTAGGATGTAATCTCTTCACTCAGCTCCCAGCTATGATCATAAACTTTGGGGATTCTCTTCTCTCAATTGGCGAAGAAACCACCCCACTAATCCAAACAAACAATCCTCTGCCACAAATATTAGCCCTGACAAATAACTTCTATAACTCCACTATCACAGCTTACATAAATAATTTTAAGTTTAATTGCCTTGCGGACACAGGTGCAACATTTACAGCAGCCCCTATAAGTATAGCAGAGAAACTAGTAGCACCTATTAAATATGAGAAACTAGGTGCAATTAGCGCTTCCGGTCACCACATGCCTATAATAGCATCCTGCAACGCTCAAATATGCATTGCAGGACACATAATCCCAATCGAAATAAAATTTGTAGACGACAAATACTTCCATAACACCAAAGATTATGAAGTAATCTTAGGTTGCGATACTTTTGCCAAGCTTCCCCCTCTTACTTTCAACCACAAAGAAAACACACTAACCATTGGAATTAATTCAACTCCAATGGGAATTAAACCGAAATTTCGTGTAATGGGAATTCGAGCGTTTAAATCCCTAAGTATCCCACCAGAAAGCCAGTGTTTAGTACCCATAAGAACTGAAACAACTGATGATACCCAAATATTTTCTGTGAATATTCTCGACAAAAGACTTGTAGATCAAGACTTTTGTTTAATCCCGACAGTAATTCAGCCGAAAAACAATCTCTCAATAATTCCCCTTATAAATCCGACTCAAGAACCCAAGATTATCTACCAAAACATGAAAATAGCATTTGCCACTGAATTAGCCCTCGATCAGGAGATCGAGGGCTAATCCCTCGATCAGGAGATCGAGGGCTAATTGTATTGATTTTCGTAAATTAAACGAAATCACTGTACCAGACTACTTCCCCTTACCCCGCTTAGAAACCATAATGGAGAAAATAGGAAATTGTCAATTATATAGCTCCCTCGACCTTTCCTCTGGATATCTCCAAATTCCATTGACTGAAGAAGCCTCAAGAAAATGCGGACTAATTACGGAAGAAGGGATATTTCAAATGACTCATCTTCCGTTCGGATTAAGAAATGCCACAGCAGCATTTAGCCGCACAATGACCCATGTCCTTTCCGGAGTTGAAAATGTACTCGCATATGTCGATGACATTTTAGTATACACTAAATCCCCTGATGTTTCAGATCATCTAAAAACACTTCGCAGTGTTTTTGAACGATTTAGACTCTTCGACCTCAAACTTTCCCCTAAAAAATGCAAATTCGCAATAGATTCTATGGACTTCCTGGGATATACAGTATCTCCAAAAGGATATACTCCGTCACTATCTAGAATTGAAATAATTAAAAACTTAGCAGCCCCAACAACCCTAAAACAAGTTAGACGAATTGTAGGAATGGCAAGTTTTTACCGTAAGCACATTCTTGGGTTCGCTACAATTGTCGAGCCACTAACCCGACTTAATAAAAAGAATAAAGCATTCGAATGGGGAAAAGAACAGATGAATGCTTTTCAAAAAATTAAGGACCTCCTTTCACAAGAGCCCATTTTAACTTTCCCTGATTATACATCCCCCTTTCATATCTTTACCGATGCTTCCGGTGTTGGTCACGGAGCAGCCTTAATGCAAAAGCGCGAAGAAAAATTCTCTGCGATAGCCTATGCCTCCCGAAGTTTATCAGCCAATGAAAGAAAATGGCCCCCGGTACAAATTGAACTTGGAGCAATAATTTACGCTCTAAGAACATTTCGACCTTATATTTATCTCTCGGAGGTCGAACTACATTCTGACCACCGTCCACTAGCCTATCTCCAATCCAAATCACACCAACACCCTCAATTAGCTCGTTGGCTAATTGAGATTCAAAATTATAATATTAAAATTGTTCATATAGAAGGGAAGAAAAATACACTCGCAGATGCACTCTCCCGCGCCCATAACTCTGAAAACGATAATACTTCAGAATTGGAAGATATTATCGAATTTCCTGTCTGTTTATCACTAAGTATATATGACCGAACAATCCATGATCCTGTTCTAAATACACTAAATATTAGAACCCGAGATGGAGAAACACAACAGATTGACCTAATCAAAGAACAAACAAATGACCCAGAAATTTTCCAAATTTTAAAATTTCTTTACGATGGATCCCTCCCAGATATTTCAGAAGAGAAACAAAAAGATTTTGTAGTTAATGCTCAAAATCTAAAAATAATTTCTGACATTCTCTATTTCCAGCCTCCCGAATCCGTCCCTAGAATATATGCTCCAATCTCACTTCGTGCTCTTATATTCGATTCTTTTCATAACAATATTGTTGGAGGCGGACACATGAATCTACGTAAGACACTCAATAAATGCTCCCGTAGGTACTACTGGCCAAAAATGTACTCCGATATCCTTATGTGGACAAAACAATGTTTAGTCTGCCAACTCCGCCACAATCCTATCCCTCTTTACCGAACCGAAATGAGATCCGTTCCAGCAAATACTTTATTTGCTCGAATAGGACTTGACCTTGCTGGTCCTCTCCCCTTGACAGAATCCGGAAACAAACACATTCTTAACATTATTTGCTGGTTTAGCAAATATGTTATCGCAGTTCCAGTTCCAAATACAAAATCACAAACCATTGCCCACGCACTTTTTAAAAATGTATATTTAAAATTTGGTGGATGTACAGAACTCATCACTGATAATGCCACAACCTTTACTTCTGAATTCTTTAGATCGTTCTGTTCTCTTCTATATATCAATAAAACCTATTCTACCCCGTACTATTCTCAAGGTAACAGTGTAACTGAAAGGTCTTTTAGGACCTTTCATAACATCTTAGCCAAATATATCAATCCGAAAGAGCCTAACTTTGATGAATTCCTAGATGCGGCTGCCTTTTGCTATAACACCTCCATCCACGAAACAACTAAGGAAACCCCATTTTTCCTTGTATTTGGTAGAGACCCAATTTTCTCCATTGACCAGATACTAGACTCAACCATATATATGCCCCTTCCCGAAAATGACCTCTCCGAATTTAAAACTAAACTCATCCTCTCTCTTAGGAAAGCTTGGAATTTGGCGGCTGAAGCCACCAAACAAGCTCAACAAAAATCCAAGACTCAATACGATAAAAAATCTCGGTCTCAAATTATTGCTATTGGAGACCATGTCCTTTTAAGAAATTATACAGGCAAGATAGGAACCTCACAAAAATTTCACCTTCCTTGGAAGGGACTTTTTCGAGTTATTGAATCTGATGGCATACATGCAACAATATTAAGTTGCTCAGCTCCCCAATCTAAACCATACAAAGTACATTTGAACCAAATAAAAAAATTTTTAGGTCCAGAAATAACCACTCCTGCCTTAACTACCACTGAAACCCCATCAGAAGAATTAGAAGCCCTAAAGCAATCTCAAGCTGAAGAGTTAACAGAAGTCGTTGGATATAATCATGAACTAAATGATAATACCAACAAAAACAAGAGCACTGAATCTGAGCAAATAACCAAATCCCAAAACCAACAAGTCACAGAAAAATTACTCCCAGATAATATAAATAGTAATACCCATCAATATAATCTCCGAAGTAGAAAACAATAATTTAACTCAACCTTACATATACAAGAATCTTCCCCACATCCCAAATAATAAATTAAAATATTAACAAAACAATTTGTAAATATTAAAAAAAATAACCACAAACAATATCACCAAAAATAATCTAAAAATTACACTTCAGGATTTAAATAAAACCTGAACATAAGTTAAATTTATATCCACTCCCAAAAAGGCCATAAAGTCCAACATTAAATAAAAAAAAACAATAAAACAGAACTAATTATTAGGTCTGTACTAATCTTCAATCTCTCCTAACCCAATCATTCCTTAAAATATTCGTTATTTTCTAATCTCCTCCTCAAGCTTTTCTCAACTCTCTCTCTCTGTCGATTCATACATTTTTAATAAAATTTAATTAAGATTTCAGATATGAGCATTATTCCTTTTTATTCATCAACAAAATCCCATTTCCAATTATCCAATTTCCATCCATGTGAAATTTTTATTAATAATTATAAATATTCATCATCCGAACACTATTACCAACAAAGAAAGGCCGCAACATTAGGAGCTTCCCAAGAATTAATTGATTCCATCCCTAAATACACTTGCGCACTTGCTAAAACTTCAGCCAAAAAATTAGAGAAAGAAGCTACTTTAGATCAAGTAGAAGAATGGCAAAAAACTAAAATTGAAGTTATGAAAAGAGCACTCTTTTCAAAATTTTCACAGAATACAAATTCACAGAATACAAAAAAGATTCTTCGTGAGAAGCGTTGGCCTGGCGCTAACGTTATGGGGAAACTCCTTTCAAATCTAAGATCTGCATGTAGGTTTCCCTTTTATCACACAGCACCCAGTGAGCCAACCGTGTTTAATAATTTTTGTTCGTTTTTCGCGTTCTTTTCACCCAAACATTTAAAGAATTTTAATTAAAAATCTTTTAATTTAGAGAAATAAAAAGTTAAAGTTCTTACTGTCTGAAATTTTATTCTGAATTTAAAATGGAATCTGTACCACAAAACCCTCCTAATGAATCATCTGAAAATCCAAATGAACCTTCAGAAATTGGACAACAACAAATGAATACTGATACCCCAACTTCGACAACTCAATTAAAGAATAATGACAACAACATTCCTTCTTTTAATATTCCAAACCCCGCTCCCATTATACCCGTTACTGAGACAATCTCCCAATTATCCATTTCTGGAATTCGTGAGAAAAAATTCCATTATTCATCCAATTCATCCTTTAGCTCGTGTGAAGGCCAATCGTTAGAAGAACAATTGGATTCACCTCCCAACCGCTCACCGTCTTTTAATGATCTAAACTCTCCACCGGAACCCAAGAAATTCAGACCCATTCCTGGCCCAATCACTGGTCTTGAATATAATAAGTACCTGGTATCACAAACATTTCCCCGTTTAATTGCCGCCAAATCCTCTCGTGGAAACCGTTCAAGTTCCTGGTCCGAATTTCTTTTATTTGACCAAAATGAATTAGACTTTAAGGCAGAAATAGGTGATCAATTAAGCTTTAAAGGATTTAGAGACCTCAAGGAAGAAGAATTAATGAACCAAGACAGTGACCCTCCCGAAACCTTGCATTTAGGCATCTCTCCACAATCCGTTGGCCCTCATCCGAGAAATATCACAACCCAAGGATTCATAATTAGAACAAAAGAAATTGTTTCTAAGAATGGAAAGCCTCTTGGTTTAATGGCTCTTGTTCAAACTGACTTTTCTCCCATACCTAATTTTGTCCAAATTAATCCAAACAATAAACTTACAGTTGGCTCACGAATAGGTGTTATTTGTAAGAGTCTCCAAATAGGGACTATCGTTTTTGAGAACCACATTTTACCACAGTCCTTTCCAGTTGCACCTATGGCTTCTCAACTCAGAAAAAGAGCTGGTCCGTCAACTAATTCGCTATTGAAGTGACAGAACCTGCTAAGTTTGTTTTTCCTTTTAATATGCATAGAAATCAAATAGATGAGATCAATGCACAGAAAATAATCTCCGCATCCCTAAATTCCCTCACATACATACAAAATGAAATCCATGAATCCACACAGATAACCACAAAGATAACTGAAGATAAAAACTCGCGAAATGTATTTATCATTTATCACACACCCAAAAATCTCAGAGCACTAGTAACGTTTAGAAAAGTTTGGGAAGAAGACTCCCCAATTATTGTAGCTAGTGACCCATCCTTTGAAAATCCCATAGCCCAAGGCACCATATCTGAAATTAGCACTGGCCGAACCTCATTTAAAACCACCATCCGAGTCCATCTAAGACCCATTGATACGATAGATGAGTATGAATGGGATTACCTTATTAATAATACAAAACTAAGTCTCCAAGTACCATACTCACCCACCAGTCAAATAGACTGGTGGGCCACCCGGAACCGGAGCCACCCGGAACCTTGCGCCACCCGGAACCGGAAAGTCCCGAATTATTTCTCAAATGGTTATAAAACTGTCTAATATTGGTAAACGTCCCATCGTCATTACACACAGCAATCTTGCGATGAGCAAGATAGTTGAAGACGTCTGTCCCAAACTGTCCCACACTAACAAACAAGCACTTATTCTTCTGTCCGCGCGCGCAAAAGAGCAATATATGAACCTCTTCAATCAATTCTCTGACCACCTCTTAATATCCTCCATCAAAGATACACAAATAGAATCCGCTAAAAGTAAAGATAGAAAAACCATAATGAGATATAAGGATAATGCCTTCACTAAACCAAAACAAGCAGATGAAAAATCAACTGCTTTGATAATTTTAGAACTTGACGACCTCTACCCAATTAAATTTTCCACCGTTTCAATGTGTGAAGAAGTGATTTCATTAATAACAAAATGTACCCATCTCTTTCTCGATGAAGCTACCCAGACTCCTATAAATCAAATTTTACATATCCTCACATTTGCACGCAACTTAGAAAAGATATTCTTAGCAGGCGACGCTTTACAGCTAGGTGTCCACTTACAAGATGTCCCAAAATTTTTACACCCATATTGTTTTGAATCGATACTAACACACACACTCCAGATTTCCTCAATTCCCAAAATCACACTTAGAACATCATACAGAAGCCACCCTATCTTGACTAGAATCATCTCCGACTCCTTCTACGGATCCATGTTGGAATCAGGAACCATAGAATCCGAACGATCTGAAGCCTTATCCTTTCCATTCCCTATACAAAATATTCCATTATTACTTGTTCACACTCCTGATAAAGATACAAGAGACTCCCATTCCTTCTCCCGTCACAATATATCACAAACCCAATTAACAAAGATTGTTGCTGAAAAATTTATCAGTACAACAAGCTTACCAATTGTCATTTTAGGTCTATACAAAAAACAAGTTGAGGAAATAAGATTATTAAATATCCCTCGAATTACCACCCTCACCATAGATTCATATCAAGCTCGCGAGCAAGAAATAGTTATACTAATTACCACAAAAACTATCCCCGCAGATTCGCTAGAAAATGATAAAATTATTGGATTTATAAATGATTCCCAAAGAGTAGCAGTATCCATTTCCAGAGCCCGACAAGCATTCTGTATAATTGGAGATTTTAACACTCTTTTAAAATGCTCATCCTGGCAATCATTTATAAACCAAGCGCTAAAATATACATATATACTTAATCATAATTTACTTTTTAGTACACAAGACAATTCATCAGTTCAAAATAATTCAAATCAACAGAAACATCAACACATTCCAACCATCACCAGCCGTCAACCACCACACAAGAAACAATACCGCCCATATCCTCTCATTACCCCACTCAATTCAATTAAATGTAACCCCAAAAATAATCAATTACCCCCATACTTTTCTGAAAATTATACCAATACCGATTATAATTGTAAGAATCCCCCACACAACCCAACCCCAATAAACAAATATTCCTCAATCCAAACAAATATGTACCCCACAATACCCTCACAAAATACAATGTACCGCCCAAATATTCAAAAATCATACATACCTTCTCCAATGCCCTCAAATTTCCAACAACCAACTTATCCATTTCCTTCATCTTCTTCTTTTACTGTACCACGCACCAATCTAAACATTCAATATTTTAATAACAGTTACTGGCAATGGTCCGAAGAGGACCGGAAATGGATTAAAGTACCTCCACCTCCCCCTCAATAAACCTTTGCAAGGAGAAAATATATAAAAATCACCTTGTTAACCCCTCTCAATCCAATAGACTAAAAATAAATTCTCCCCAAAAAATTTTTTCTGATATCAGAAATTTCAACAAAATTTCAGATTCACACACCAACCGTTCCGAAACCCGAAAATTCACATTTTTAAATATTGTTTTCAAACGAATTTTCCAATTTCAGAAATTTTGAGTAATTTCAGAAATCCACCACCACCACCACCAACTACTTTAAAAAAAAATTCCAAAAAAAAAGAAAAGTAAGCTGAGGGACCAGCTTATGTGGGAAGGGAGATGTAAGGCACTTTAATGCCATCCACCTCCAAAACCCCCTACCCCCTATCACCAACCCCAATCCCTCTATTATTTCCACATATCTCCTCCACAAGATATTGTTCCTTCGCCTTTAATCTTTCCCACCCCTTCCTGTTAGTTATTCAACCACCTTTTCACGTGTGTTCCCAGATTATTCACCTTTATATTTATTATGTTTATCCATTGTAACGCCCCATTTAGACTACACATACTTAAACAACTTTAGAAGAGAAGAAAGAGACTTCATTCGGTTTAGTTTGGAAATTCATTGAAGAATTCTTTTGATTGGGAGATTTTTGGAATGAATGTTTTATGAATTATTTAACCCCTATTCAATACACATTTATTTCACTCATTTATTTTCGTGCTTTATATTTAACTCATGCATTTTATTCACTTATATTATATTTGGCTATCAATTAAATAAACATAATCAGTTAGACTTGAGTGTGTAAATGATTAGAACCCTTAGGACAGAATTAGAACTCCTTACACTCCCCAATATATTCCTTGCCATGCCGTTTTCATCTTGTCCTCCTTTTCCCTTTCCAGACATTCAAACGACCTGACCAGTGAATCCCGATGGACGGTGCCATCAGACATGATGCCAACGGATGATTTCACTGGGGCAGAGTTACTGTAGTAATTGATCTTTATTGGTTAAAGGTGTTCCTAATGGAATGTTGTCGTTATCAATTATGTTTTCAACTAAATTTAATTGTTATAAACAAAAATATTTTTAAGTTAAGGTTCTAATATCTAAAATTTTGGTCCCATTCGTAATCGTTTGTACCGCCTTCACAGCGCCATAGATCAAATGCTGAGTGATATCTTAGAGTAGGACGAGAAGGATTAATTTAAATTAGGAAATTTTTTTATCTTTTATCCTATTTTGAGTAAAATTTATATAAAAATCCGAAAATTCTGTCATTCTATAAAAAATTCTAAAACAGGTTGCAACCTAAAATCTAGGCCATTAAACTCAACCTATTAAACTAAGATAATAATATCCTACAATATTTTGAGTAGATATTTTTGACGATTCTACCGGACAATATTGCAGCTTTAGTTGAAAGGCATCCCAAGAAACTAAAGACTCAACGTTACGATATCCTACCTAATGTTCAATCTTCTTAACCTAAGCTTCAGCCACATCACAACCTTATAGTCTCTTGCTATTTTTATATCTTTACTTTTAAATATTCTAATTAATGTAATTAAAGATATTTTTATGTAAATTTTGTTAGACAGCAGATTCTCAGAAAATTGATTAACGGATAAGGATATCCAAATCTAAAGAAGCGAAAATTTCTTATCGGAATTTTCCTGTTGGATTTCTGTGAAGTCCTTTTGGTTAAATACCAAAAACCTTAGGTAAGAGGCATCTAATAAGATAACCTTGTCCATGATCAACATTAATTTCTGCATCATTTACTATATTTTTACTTCCATAATTTTCCAAATTATTAATATTAGAACCAAAGTATTCATTTAAAATTTCTTTAATTAACTCATATTTTTTATTTGCTGCATGCACAAAACGTGCACAATCTCCAAATACAAGTTTAAATCTCTCAGTCATCTTTTCAATATCTTTTTGAATTTTATTTAGATTTTTTTGCCCTGATATTAATTTGTTTATTGCACCCCTTTTGGGTTTTAAATTAGCCATAATTTTTCCATTTTCTGCTAGTTCATTATAAAATGGTAACGTCAAAACTTTATTTAGTTTTTCTAAATTGTGATCTTTTATATTTATACTCGAATCAAATATTGCATGTTCGCTTTCTAGTAAAATATTCAAACTAAATTTAAAAATTTTATTAAATCAGGCTTCGATTAAAAAACGTTAATTTAATTTAGAGTTCTTTTAAGTTTGGGTTAATTTATAAGTATTTTGTATAAAAAGTTTACAAATATAAATCGCTACAAAAATACAATCTAAAGAATATATTCACGTGGAAGTTCCTATAAGGAACAGGCCATGGTACCGCAAGCTATAAGTTCGTTCAAAATTACCGAATCCAGGACGCGCGTTTGGTTTGATTCAGAGCGTCGAGTCGCATCGAAACATGCTAAGGCGTCCCAGATTTGACAATTCTGAACGAAGTTGTACGATACTTAGCGTTTGCGGTATATTATCATAGTTAATTCTTATGAGATTCAAGGCATATTGAAATTCAAATTCATATCAATAATTTTTGAATCTATTTCATAAAAATCGCTATTAAAAAAGCCGAAGTAATTGCAGAAAATAGTCAAAAAAAAGCAAAAGTTAGGGTGAGTTAATCTAAATTTATAAATTCACCCCCTCCCCCTTAGCGGTTTTCATATTTGTTATAGCAATACGGCTGTTAGAACACTTGAAGCTTTTCTAGATTGCAGTGATTGTTATTTAGATAATCTGATTTAATATTGTAAAATAATTCAAATTAAAAATAAAATTAACAAACTGATTTTTTAAACAAATAATTTCAACGATATAATAAATTAATAATCCTTTTCCATGTGTCAAATACATTTCATTTATCTCTTTGAGTAAAGGTAAATAATATAATATTTTTGCGTTTGTAGATAATAAATTTTTTGTATCAGTATCATCAATATTTGTTTCTTGAATAAATAATTCTTTGATTATAATGTGTCTATCAGAAATATTGTTATTACTTATATTATTTAATTTATCTAAAAATAAATAAATTACAAAGCATCCCCGAATAAATATCCTAATAAAATAATGCTTCTCTCGGTTAATTACTCCGTATACCGTGAGTCTTAAACAATAGTTTTCAGGTAATAATTTTAGAATATAAGATAAATAAGAGCAGGAAATGTTAAATATAACAATACAGCACGGCTCTTGTGGAACATGGTGGCGTGGGCCATTCCATTGTGGAAAAAAAATTTGCCTCTCTATGTTTATCCCTCCGGGATAAATTTCCTTCTTACATTATGGATTCCCATTCGCACTATAAGGGATTTGAATATATTTTCAATTTAAAATCGTTATCATTACTGTTAATCAACTACGGTATCTACTCAAATAATAACAACCTATTGAATATCCCCTTCAACGTAGGGGATATTCAAGAAGAAATTTGGAATCTTCTTTAAAGAACCATGAAACCGAAGAATGAAACCACACCCCTTATAGTGTAATTATTAAAGGCAAACCTAATATCTCATCAACAGAAATAATTTTTTCTGGGACATGATGTTTGTCTAAAACAATTGCCAAAGCTTTTTCAAAATTATTTTTAACAAGCTTTATCAAAACTTCAAATGTAGCTTTATAAAAATATAAAACTTTATTAACAAATTCATCAAATATTTTATTGAATTTTAATTTTATTGCCCGTTTTTCCGTAATTATTGAACTAAAAGGTAGTCTAATTTCATTAAATTTATTTTTATCAAAGCGCCATTTAAGGGTTAATTTAAATTGTTCTCCATTTCCATCAAAATATTTATATTTGTAACCATTACCAAGAAATTCTATTATACTTTTATCTATATCAACATAATTTTCTAGAGAAGGCTCATCATGAAATTCTTTTATTTCCCACAAAATCATCTCTATATATTCATAGAAAATTTCTTTATCTGTTTGTTTATTAAAATTTTCTGAATTAAATTCTTCTAGTTGAGCTTCTTCAGAATAAGCTTGGTTATAATTTTCAGATTCCTTCTTTAGTTCTTTCAATTTTCTCTGTTGCTCCTTCTTTTGTTTTTGTTTATTTTCTTGTTTTATTTTTGCTTCCATCTTCACAAGTTCTTTAGCTTCTTTATCCGCTTTCTTCTTTTTTTCGTTTTCTATATTTATCTGTTTATTTTTCTGTTTTATTTCTTTATTTAAAAATTCTAGATCGGTGTCTTTAACTTTAACCTTTTGATTTCCTTTATTCTTAGTTTTTTTCTTAGTTTTGTTCTTATTTAATTTTGTTATTGTCTCTTTTTCCTATTAAATAAAAATTCAGATTATAATTAGGGTTGCACAAAACCGTTTAATTTTGAAAAAACCGTATACCGTTTATGCCGTTTATGTGAGACCCGTATACCGATCCGTTTAATTTTACCAAAAACCCGTTTACCGTATACCGTTTAGCTAATATATATTAGTGTGGAGACTAACAAATAAGTCTAGTATAAATTACAAGTTATGGTCAAACGTCCATTTTAGTTTAAATTAGTGTATCACCCCCGAGCCTTCTGGGGGGGGGGGGGGAGAGAGTGTCGGGTTTCGGGGTCCTTCGGGGTTTGGGTCAGGGTTTTTGCATAAAATAGTCGTGTTCGGGGTATCAGGGGTCGGGGTTTCGTGGGACGGAGTGCTACCATAGTTTAGCAACAAATTTTGAGTGATATTTTGCTGGCCGGTCAAATTTACACTCTAGTTAAATATTTATTTTACATACTGGTTTGATAAATAATGTCTTAATTAAGTTTCTGCAAGTCAAGTTAATACATAAGCAGGACAAGTTCTGCCGGTACTATCCATACAGGAAAAGCCGAAAATATTAAATGAGAGTTTCTAAATCATAAATTATATGTTTATATCTCGGTAAATTGAGAATAAAATTAGTTAAACACTTATTTGTCAGTTAGTATAATTAAAAATATCCAAACTGTTTCATCCTCTGACGCTGATTTTGGTTTTTCAAACTCTGGATTAATAATATTATTCATTTTATCATCATCTACTGAAGTATAACGATTTGTTACAACGGAATCATTCGAACTTTCTATTAAGTCCGGTATTTTTTCCTCAAAAATTATTTTTTTATTTTGATTTTTTCCTTTTTTCTTCTTTTTACTTGTGATTTCCTGCCATTCCTCTTCCTTAGGTAAATTTCGAATATTCGATTCATTAATTTTATTTAATTGAGCAGTCTCTGATTTATTGCCAATCTTTAAGTTCTTTTGAACCAACTCTATACTAGGATCTTTTTTGTGCTCATGAAATAATTGCTGATCAACTTCAATCTAAAATAATTAATAAAATAACAAAATTATATCCGTAAAATAACTTTTTCCTTTCCTTTTCCTTTCGCTTTTCTTTTTGCTTTTCCCTTTCCTTTTTCAATTTTATTTTGACTTAGTTCAACAATATTTTTGTGTAAACTATCAATCTTCGATTCTGTCAGATCACTAGATTTATCTATACTTATCTCTTCTTTAACATTTCCCTTATTTATCTCTTCTTCGCCATCTCCATTATCATCAACTCTTTCAGTTTCCATATCAAAAAGAACACCATCCTTTATTCCTTTTATTTTTTCACTTAACAAAGTTAACAATCGAAAGTCACTATTTTCTTCAATAAATATATATGACGTTCTATAATATTTTAGTAAATTAACTATATGTCTTGGAAAATTATTTTCTGTGTATTTTTTTATCGCCTCCACATGTTCAAGGAAATATGGCATCTTTCGGCAATTATGAACAATTTTTGGCGATCCATCAGGAAGGAATTTCTTTGTTTCTTCTGAAAATGATATAATATATAAGAATATTAGGTCAACGGCCCAAATTTTGTCGAATGCGTCGTTGTGGCCGCGCGTATATTATATTAGGAGACAATATTTATGACATAACCTTGTTAAAATTGAAGATAAATAGGGGATCAAATAAGGCTTAAATGATATAGAACAAAAAGAAGAAATATAATTAAGAATTTTCGAAGTGCCCACATTTTGACAAAGTTTAAAACAACGTTTGGTCGTTATCAAGCGCAGACCTTTGACTCCAAAACAGAACAAAAAGATCTCTATCTAAAAACATACCATTTTTTAAGTCGAATAACTCATTTAAATCTGTATTCGTCATTACATAAGACTCCAACCAATACTTCCATTCAGAGTTAACAAATATTTTAAGGATAACAATTTTAAATAAATGTGTAGGTACATAAATTTCTTTTGGACCGATGACCTAAAATTACAAATAAATGAATTATTTTTCATTTATGTCGGGATCTGAGATTAGGTATAAAAACTGAGCTGTGAGTATTCAATGCGCTCATTTTACTTGCAAAAGCAATTGCCGTCTTTGCATGTTATTATTTAGCGATATTTCCAGGACTTTGAGAAGCCCAATTTAATAGCCTAGTTTAGTGAGATTCGAATAAACCCTTCTACCAGCTAGAGTTGTCCAAGTCCAAAATTTTCCAATACTCGAGACCAAGATAAGAACCAAGACTCAGGAACAAAATTAACAAGACTCGACTCGAGATAATTTTCGGACCATAGCCAAATTTTTAGTTTATTTCTTGTGCCTCTGAAATGAACAAGAAACTATAATTTGAAGGAATTTATAAGAAATAAACTCAGGCTCAAGTAAAAAGGATTATTTTTCTGGCAGACCGATCAGAATTAACTAATTATCGACAATTATTTCAATAAATTACTTGAAATTCCATTAAATTTTTCTCTTGATTTGGCAAAAATAATGGTCCTGAATAAATATATGTTTCTTCTGCTTCTTTTGCCATACAACTTGAAATATAATTATATATTTATATCATATCATCTCGAATAATTACTCTGGATTTTAGTTGTTATGAATTTATTTAAAGCCGATAATCAATCGGGAGGGAGAGGGGTAATTAACCGAGAAAATAATAATTTAAATATCGTATTTCCTCTAATAGAATGGCCTGGTATTCTATATGTCAATCACACTACAAAAAATAACTATTAGTGAGTGGTATTCAATCAAGGTATTCAATTCATACATATAATACTTAAAATCTTAATCACTCCAAATCCACGGATATCGCCCATAAACCACCGATATCCCTCTAAATCGTCTGATATCCTCAATATCTATCATGTAAAAGATTTTAGGTAAACTCATAAACTAGGTGATATCTATTCTTAAATCATTCTCTGAAGGGGCATTCTATTAGATTGGGTCATCAACTGGAGAGGGCATTCAATTAGAGTAAATAAGATTATTGATGTTATTTATTTACCTAATGTATTCTTCGATAACCCTCCAATGTCCACTGTTAACCTCCTTGTATTGTGGCACTGAATTTGTAAGGTAAAAGCCTTGCTCGTGTGGATGTAAATTTCCCGTTGCTAGATGGCCATGATTATATATAGAATTCTTAATTTACAAAATTTAGGGGAAAAAGATTTGATTAAACCGGATTACACTCATAATCATTATATTTTGGCTGGAATATTTCCGAAAAATCTGGATCAGCTGACCACCAAAATTTTTCATTAGTTAAATTATTCATATGTTCCTTCGTTAAATATTCCAAAACCCAATTTGGTATTCTTTTCCTTCTATTAAAATTTATGATAAAATCCTTGAAAATAAAATATAAATTTTGAATTTTAAATTTAACAAACTTTATATATTCGAATATTCGATTTTTTATATTTTTCTTTATTTTCCTCACTTATATCACTCAAATTTATATTTTTGAATTTTTTAGAAAATGAAAACTCATTTTTATATTTAATAAATTTATTTTTGAAGGTTGACTTCAAGGATTCTTTAAAATTTGGAATCATTGCTTCAAATAAGTTTTTATTATCGCATTTATCTGAAATTTATTTTAGAGACCGGTAAGTTACAATGCTTCGTTTTTCGACCCGAACCCCGATCCGAAAATTTATTCAAACGCGAGCTGAAACCCATATTTCCCATCAAAATTTAAGATCCATGTACCTAATTTCTTTATTTTATCAAATCCAGAATTATGCAGCAAATCAATCAACTCAAATCCAATATACCATTCTAAAAATTCCAATTTATTTTTGAATAACTCTCCCATAATTTTATGATCTTTAATATAATTTTTAAATTCCCAATTATCTAACGAATCTTTTCCACAATTTTCTTTATAACTATTATCAGACTTTGTATCTTCATTCCAATTAGCTTCAGTAATAATTATGTCAGCACAATAATTTCTAAGTTCATATTCAATAATAATAACTTTGAAAACTTGTGTTATTGGTGGATGCTTTACTTCATTGTTGAACTTAAATAATAAGTTGAAATATAGAATATACCAATAGTACATTTGGAACTTAGATCAACGACTTCCAAATTGAATGTTAGTCTCAATAACGATAATTTTATTTGGCCAAAATGACTCAATATATAGATTCCGTAGTGTCTTACAAATTTGGCCAAGGGTATACATCAGGGTGGCCCTTTTACCCTATTTATAGAGGATTTTCCCTATTTTTGACCTTTTCGCCCTATTTTTTCCCTATTTTCTCATTTGCCATATTTTTGCCCTATTTTTACAATTTTGTGAAATTATAAGAATTCTTCGGATTTTGTTTAAAAATTGGTATAAATGAAGGATTTCTAACTTCCTGGCCTTCCAAAATCCTCAAAATTTTTGCCTGCGGCGCATAAAATGGGAGAAATCTTGCTTCTAGCCTCCCAAAATCATCAAAATTTTCTGCCTGCGGCGCTAAAAAAAGAAGAAATTTGGCTTCTTGGCCTTCCAAAATTCCCAAAAATTTCGCCTTATTTGAAATTTATGTATGCTTAAGCTTTTAAAGCTATGCCCTGATTTTTGCCCCATTTTTGGCCGATTTCGCCCTATTTTTGCCCTATTTTTGAGTGGCTGCGCCCTATTTTAGTGTTTTGGAAGGGGCCACCCTGGTATACATTGTAATCCTGAACTATTTTTAACTCAGAAATTTATAGAATTATAATATTTTCTACTTTTATTATTTCAAAAATTTAACAAATCCATACCGGATAACTCTTAACACTTTCCTTCCTTTCAGTTTTTTCTGAAACAAGTACTGATATTGGCCCTGTTATTGCTATGATATTCTTCTTATTACATTTAGCTACACAACTTAAAATTTCAAAATAATTAAAATAATAAATCTTAGGGAGGAACCAACGATCTATCTCTATTATATCGAAAAGTCCTTTAATTTGAAGGTTTACTATATCAAGATTCGTTAGTTTTATTAAATAAACCTCGCATATTTATCAAGCAGTTCAAGTGTCTTTAACTTTTTTTTTATTATTACAATGTCCGAATTTTTGATATTTATTTGTTACTATGTCTTCTGTTATTGAATCTCTACTATGTGATACAATTTCTAAAATCCAATTTGCTTTTTCTGATAACAAATTAATGCCTATCAAATGCTTAAAAATAATAATTTTTGATTTATTATAGTATAAAACTTTGTAAGATATATAATTTTATTTTTAAAATCAGCATTTAATTACAAGGTGTTATAGTAGAGAAGCCCAAAACCTTAGTTTTGATCTTGACTCAAAAACTTTCTTGGGGGTTTCGATAATTTTTAAAGCTTATCTTATAGAACAATATGTACATATATGGCAAGAAAACTATTCACAAACTTTATCTTCAATTAATACTCTCTCCTCTTCGGGCCACCCAAATTCATCAAAATGTTGTGATATTTTGCTAAGAATCCCTTCAGGATCGAACTCCGTAATAATATGTTTTTCAGGTTGATTCCAATGAAATTCACTATAACTCGGAAAATTCCATAGATTTGGAGTTTGCAAAATTGTTGGATTAAGCCATCCAATAGATAAGAATTGTTTGAAAGCTAACTCATCAAATGAAGAATCTGCAATAATATTTTTGCATTCATATTTGCATCAATATTTTAAAAATATTACTAATAAAAAAACTTGTGAATATAAAGGTTGTCGGATAGTTGGAAATTTTCGGATATCCGGATTTTGTATCCGAACCAAAAATTTCCGGATATCCCGTCTTTTCGGATCTGGATATCCGGATCCGACAACCTTAATACATATTACATACGATGGTAGCTAACTATATCTTCTCTTGGGTTGAATTCATTTGCTATAAAATAGTAGTATATTAATTCTTGTAAAAGTTGAAAAAATTAAAAAAGACAGAAGCCTTTCGGACAGAAGCCTATTATACTTTCAGATCTCTTTCATTAAGTCCTATATTTTACAAAGATTTTTGGTTTTAGACCAGAAATACCAGAAAATCCGGAAATTTTCAACTTCAGTTTGATTATGTTTAGAATTCGAGGGCCATTATTGGTGAAATATTCGCTAAACTTATTAAGCTAAAACAAGTTTTTAAATATTTTGAAACTTTGCACAAGCAACTTTAGTATTCTTTATAATCATAACATGAAACCAGAAAAAGAATTCTTGAGAAAAAAAATACCGGTTGGATTTAAATATCTGCGCCGAGTTATATAGCTTGAGGAAGCGCCAGGATCTGAAATTTTGTTAACTTCATCTGGCTTGTCATTCTTTTGTGATGCGCATTTTATAGGAATAATAACAAAAATAATTAGTAATAAATTAACAAATAATAAATAAATAAAGGTTTTCATATATAAATCAAATGAATGGGTAGCTGAAATAAAATGTCAAACAATATTTGTTCAGCTAACGTCATTATTATTTGAATATGTTATTAAAAAAGAGGAATATGTTGTTTATAGCTAGCGTTACCATAGTTAAAGAACTTAATATTCAAGCAGTCAATTTTTGCAAACATTCAAAATTACAAACAAAAACTTCAAACATTTTCCTTTGTTCAAGACCTTCCAAAACATCACTTTTTAAATAATATCAAAACATATACAATATCAAAAGATTGACAGAACATTCATCAAAGCATTTCTGGTTATTGTTATTGGAGTTATTATAGCTAGTGTAGCCTTTGAGTAGTTGTCTTATTCTGTCAGTCGTTCTACCAAAGCGCATAATCTCACTTACCGTATTTACTCGATTAATTCCCCTGGGGAATTATTTTTTCAACCTATCCGTGGCATGGGGAATTATTCAAGGGAGGGGAATTATTCGAGTTTTGAAATTTGAACGTGTAGTAGGGTATTTGGGGGAGGGGAATTATTTTTTCAACCCACCCGTAGCATGGGGAATTAATCGAGGGAGGGGAATTATTCAAGGGAGGGGAATTAATCGAGTAAATACGGTATTCAATTATACAATTATTGTCTTGATAAAACACTGTATGTAATTCAAGTATATTTTACTAGTATCTGATACAACGCAAAGCGATACTTGATTATTACACTGTTATAAATTACAATATAAGAAGCAACTCAACAAAAAAATTTTAACTAGAGAACAACTTAACAACTTGTATTACGTTAATTAAAAGCTATAAATAATAATAGATTGTGAAAGCCTGTCATAAACATAAATAAAATTTTAAAATAAATTTTAAGTGAGGGAAATTATTTATTTATCCTACTCCCCTCACAAGATAAATAAAAATTAATCAATGATGTTGAAATGAAAATAAAATTCACGTGTTTTTGCGTATTGTAAAATATTATTTAATTTAAATATAAAAAAATTAAATATCCAACAAAAGTTTCAAAAAAATCAGAGTAATAGATCTGAGATAATAGAGCAAATTAAATCTCTTTTTTTTGTGTAGAAAAAAATAAAAAAAAATCTCTTGTAATTTATTTAAGTTTACAAAACGTAAATGCTCAAATTATACCGGATGATTATTGTTTCAGCCTCTCGCTAGAGTGTTAATTAATTACGAGAGGCAACTATACATATATTTGAGAGAGGGTAATTATTCGAGAAATTACGGTACCATATGTCAAGCACTATAAGACCACCTGCTCACGTTTTTCAACTTAAACATAAATTTGAGTTCAAAAAACTACATTTCTTAAAGAATAATAGTTAGTTGAAAAATGAACTTAAAAAATTTGGATTGAAAAAAATATTACAAGAATTATATGTATGTATAAAACAAGTTCAATATTTAAAAAAAACCAATACATTGCAAAAAATGAATTTTCAATTAACACTGATCCTGAATAAAACCCAGGTATTAGTGGACTAATGGAGGGATATAAAGAGATTTGTAATAGAATATGTATTAACAAAAAATTTCAGGAGAGTGGGGAGGGAGATTAAGAGGGCCTGCCTTTAAAAAAATCTGAAATTCTATTTTTCTATGGTTTTGTGTGAAATTCATCTACTATTTTATGAGAGAGTAAAGGATTTCAGTTGAATTATGATTATTTATTTTATCCAGGTTAGGAAGTTATTCTGAGGAATAAAATCTTCTAACCACGATTCTTAACCCCGAACTTTTTAAGGCT